ACTTCTAACTTATCCTGTAATTTTAATGTAACATGCTTACGTGGAGCCATTTTAAGAAAAATACGCAAATAAATGTTACAATACGCAGTGTAAAACGATCTTTATTCAGTACGACACTCAACTGACGAACGTATGTAATCGACGTTCATAATATCTAAACGACATACACGTGCGATTACAAACATAATCGAAAAATTTTATTAGCGGAAAATATTATTTATAATTAATACATACATACATACATAAATATTACATATAGCGATAAGATAATTCTCAAGCCCGTTTGGATTACCGCGTCTTTCGGATTAGCTTGTGTTCGGATTGTCGAGACCCGACTGTAGGTACTTGTACAAGTTGCACAGAAATAAATATAACTATTTTAACGAACAGTGGTAGAATTAAAGTAATTATTATTATCAATCATGATTATTATTAATATTTCAAAATATGCAACATTTATGCCACTATCAAGAAATATGAAATTAATATGCATTTTCATTAAAATATGCAAAAATATGCAACAAAAAAAAAGTAACCATAGAATCTACACATTATATGAAACGTTGACAATAATCAACATTAATCTAGGTGAATTGTAGAAGAATATGCATTTGCATATAAATCCGGGCCCTAATCATAATGTAGCTTTGAACTCGATTGTGACATAAGATATAATCGTATAATGATGTAAATAGGTCAGTGGAATAACTATAGCCTATAGGTACTCAGAAACTAAAACGGAATATAATTCTGTGTTATTAACTTCACTTACTTCATTGTATTATACCACTCTACTACAAAAACTTGTGCTTAAAGGTACTATTGAAGGAATAATCGATTTGAATTTTGATTATAAGTTACAATTAGTATTTCTTAAAATACCCGAGATGTGCAATCATTATTTTAGTGTAAATTACAATCACTTTTCAAAAATGTTGGTACAAATTGCATGACGTGTTATATCATAATATTATATTTTTGGGCAATTTTGGTACAAATTTACAACAGCCCATTTATACTTGTATCGTTATAATTTAATGTTTATAATAACATGAACATACAATTGTTTAACTTTAATATACATTTAAATTTAAAAAAAGTAATTTATATAAATATTATA